CTTACACACTAGTCCGTGAAGTGATGTCAATGACAGATGTCGACACTGTCATTTTTTTCTAGTAAATTACTTCACTTTACGCACTAGTGCGTAAAGTAAGTATTTGTCTGAATTTATTTTTTCACATGTATTCAGCCTTATTCACGTGCACCCCTTGGATCTTGAAATTATTCATTATTGAATATTGGAATATTTCAATATTAAAAAGAATTCTTATTCTGGTGACCCCCTTGAAAAGTAAATATCGAATATTGAAAAACTGTTATCAAATTCAATATATAAATATGGCAACGCGGCAATTTTGTGTCAAAGTTTAATCGTGACCGCACTTTCGGCATTTGTAATATATTTGTTTATTTGTATTTCCATTGAAAGTGGGTGAAATTGGGTGAAAAAGGTAGAAAATTTTAATTATTCCGTCAAAAAGGAAAATACAATATGGCGTGGCGGCGAAGCAAGTCTGTTTCGAATGTTTTTATGCATATTTTAAGTTATTTTGCTTGCAACTTTGATTTTGATTATTTAATAAAATATTTGTTGACTAGGTACCTAAACTATTAAATCGGGCAGAAATTAGATATTTTTTTGTGTTTTTTGGCCCATGTGTGACTAGGGTTGCCAAGTTTTTGAAATGGAAAAGCGGGAGGTTGAAATTTTTGGGTGGCACGTTCAAATTTTTACGGAACAGTCGTTAAAACACCCTGTCAGTCAAATGTATTTTTTGTTAACCCTTTCAGTACGGCACCTAAGAGATGGATTCATGGAATACGGACGGGAGTTTTTACAGTGGCAGATAGGCGGCTGACGAATATATTCGTCACTGCTAAAGAATAGTTTTTATCACGAAAATCACACAAAATTGATTGCTACTGTTGAGTTTATTTATTTGATAAACGCAGAGATAACTTAAATTATATTAAAGAATGTATAAACATCATTAAAAGAGAAGATTATACTAGTAGTCAACCTGCGTGTGATATATTCGAAAACAAAGTGATACACACAATCCTACCCCACAATTGTTACACATGTATTTCAAATCCTTCCTCTTTTTTGGTCCGTTTCTTGTGTGAGAACATACCCAGCATCTTCTTAGTTGTAGCTTGCCATTTTTGCGAGGGACTTCCGCTGGAAAATGTCTCTCTGAGAGTCTTGTAAGTCCAGTGTAGTGCTGTGTGGGTTTAGCAATATACTTTGATGGATACCTAGAAAAAAACAAATGAATTTTTGGGAAGAAAAATATAGAAAAGAGAAATATACCTTTGAAGTAGCTGTCGAATAACATCTAGATGAAATTCAGGAAATGATTTATGCCCGGCGTTCTGAGTTTGGTATAAAGCATGGGAATTCAGCATACAAATATCCAATACGTGAAGAAACAATTTTCTGTACCACTTTATGGTTTTACGAGTGCAATCCACACTGCTTATCATCATGTCAGATCTGTCTATGGCTCCAATATTTTGATTATACGCAATTACACATAAAGGTTTTACCTTGTTTTCTTTGGTAATAGACCTTTCCAAATTAGAATAATTCTGTTGCGCATGCACAAAACATTGTTGCCAAGTGTCGGTTTCTATCACCCTATACAGGAAAGAATCATGAATAATTTCGATTTCATTAGAACTGAGATTCAAATTCTTTATTATCAATTAACCTTACATTTGATGCAGTCAAAGACTCAAGCTATTTATTGAAAAGATATATTGATGGTCATTTTGTAAAGTTTTTTTTTTAAACCTAACGCGCTTCAATTTGTACAAGCCGGCAACATCGCACAATTTCACTGTCATTTCTTCGATCAGCTGATTATTGTTTTGCGGTCCATGTTTCCAGAAGTTCCACGACTACTTTTCCCGATAATCCTAGACCTTTATCAGTATCATTGTCTGCTTGTTTGTCGTCTTTGCCAACATATACCATAAAGTTCAAAACATACCCCGTTTCACAGTCGCATAAAACATATAGTTTTATGCCAAACCGATGCCTTTTGGTTTTTATGTATTGCTTGAATACCAAGTGTACTTTAAACAAAATCATACTTTCATCTATTACGACGTTTTCGAACGGATAGAACTGGTTTTCTGAATCTCTCTTGAATCATCTTTAGAATGTTATCTACCTTGTACAGTCGATTACCTGCCACTGCTTCTTCATTATTGCTGAAATGCAAATACCTTAATATTTGGAGGTATCGATCACGAGGCATCGCCTTGCGGAAAAATGGAGTTCCAATGATTTCATCTGTAGACCAGTAGTCCTTCAGATCAGACTTCTTTACGTGTGGCGTCAGCATTGTTAGTGCTACAAAAACGTATATATCGTGTATGTCATCATTTTTCCAGTTTTTGGCTTTATTTTGTTGAGCGAAAAGATTGGTTTGTTCAACAATTACGAGAGCAACTTTTTCTGAAAAGAAATTAAGAAAATACTCCACGTCTCGGTTTTCATTCAATAGATTTTGGTTCTGTATTCCACTATGAGTATTGTCGAACTGGTGCACTGTAGGAACGAATTCACGTGAATCCCACTTTATAATAAATTCTTGTATATTTTGAAAAAAACCGTCTGAATTGTCTAAATTTCCATCATCAGGTGTATGATAATCCATATTCTGGTGTTCCAAATCAATTTCATCTTCTTCGGAGCTCAAATTTACCTCACTTTCACTCTCAGATTCAGGAACATACTCACTGCCAGAGTTTTGGAATGGTCCATCCTCAGTCTCACTAGTCTCACTGACATACAATTCTTTATCACTTACTTGTTTTAGTATATTTCGTACCTCTTGTTTACTAAGACCACAACATTCTTCGTCAAGTTTTGGTTTTTTAGCCTTTCCAGAGCCTCTAGATTAGATGGACCAGCTTCCTCCTGGATCGACATTTTTGAGCACATTGAAAACGATCACGCAGCACTAGTTGCACGTACGCAGCTTCTACTCGTGGTATCAGCTGTTTTTGCCACGTTGCCGGCTGCCGACAATAATCGGCGGTGCCGAAACTTTTCGTTACCCGTCTATGCGGCAAATGAAAAGGAACGAAACTGTTCGTCAGTCGTCTGTGAGCCAACTAAACTTTCAATAAATGCCGTAACCGAGATGGCAGACACTCAAAAATAAATTTAACACCGAACAAATATATTCGGCAGCCGTTTGTACGGCAAAACTTTCAATGACCAATATATTAGGCACCCGTACTGAAAGGGTTAAACAAATTACTTGCCAACTCGTTTTTTCCAATTTTTCCGGAAAAATTAAAAACACTTATGATATTACCCTTACCCCCGATTTCCCGAGAAATAATTTTCCTTTTATTAATTATTACACGTACCCTTATTCTTACTCTAAAGCTATCTAGATCTGCTTGGAGCAAGAAGAGTTGGTTTAAATAAAAAAGCTTTAAAGTGCATACGTAATCGATGGTAGACGGCAAAGTTAGGTTGCGTGATAGTTTTTATGACGTCATCTGGGGTGCCCCTTTTAATGGTCTCCTCAACATAATGCAAATCTGCAAAAGGCATCCTAGATGACATCATCAAGTTACCCAGTAGAAGACAACCTATTAACTCTGGTACGTGTTTTCGAAAATACTTGTCAATTTTGTCATTGTGGGCGCCACAGTACAGTGGACGCTTTTTTTATTCAGCAATGGATCCATTGATGACCAGTATCTTTGTGTGGTTCATAGAAAATCGGTATGGTTGTCTCATAATGCTGAATAAAAGAATTCGCCCTGTATATAAGACGTCGCTTTTTTATATACGAACCCAAAAACATCCAGAAACCTCAAATAAAAGATGCAAATGCCCGATAGCAAAACAAAAATTATTTTGCTGTATATTGAATTATTATTTTTCTTTAGTCAAATGCGAAATTGTTGAAAAGCGGGAGTTAGCGGGAGTTTTTTTAGAAAGCGGGAGTTTTTGCTGCTATGTTTTACGGAGGGAGGCATGACAAAAAAGCGGGAGTCTCCCGCCTAAATCGGGAGGGTTGGCAACTCTATGTGTGACCGCCACGTCATCTTGAGTGTCACGTGGTTTGGATTGCCTAATAAAAACGCATAACACACAAAAATTATTTCTGCTTTTGGAATTTTCAGGTTCTTGCGCTCTAAATGATGCTTTTATAAATGTTCTGGTAAATCCTCTACACTCGAACAGTTGTTGTAAGCCTGAGCGTTTATTTCTGGGTTGTGCTAAAACTTTAATAATTTTAAGTGAACTTTGATTTTTTGATAAGATTTTTAGTAAGAAAAACTTAAATAACAATATATTAATGTACTACCTACTAAAATAATAAATGTTCACCTTGCATTTTCATTTTGCAAAGCTGAAATCAAAAGAGGAATGTCCAAAAAGTTGGCTATTTTTCCCAATTATTCAATATTCAATCCTGTAAGGGGGTCCTTGTGCCAACCCCTTATCAAATTGAAAAACTGAAAACTGTTCTTGAAAATTTTTGGGTCACCAGAATAGCGACTTGAAAAATATTCAATATTCAAGGCTTGAATCATTAACCAATATTTAAGGCAGTACGCAAGATGCACTTGAATAGCAAATTGCCATGTTTTTCAAGAACCAATTCAATAATCAATTTTCAAGTCGCATGTGAATAAGGCCGATTTTATTGGTAGGAGAATTTTTTTTGTATATGCAATACTGTTGTAAAGTGAACCTTTTTTCACGAATGTGAATTTTGTCGCACTCGCCTTTCACTTTACACACTATGGAAACCCTAGTTTCAAAGTCTATAACATTTTTTTTTTTTTTGTTTTATACGTATAATCTATTTTCCCCATTACTAGTGTTTACTGTTTCCTAAATAAAACTGCTTCAAAAACTTTTTGATATTTTGTTAAATTGTTAAAAAAAAAGGATTTATAAAATAAAGCTATAGTTAAAAAAAATTATCCGAGATTATGATCAATTATTAAACTGCATGATCACAGAATATTAATTGAAATTTTAACTGTTAGATATTAGGTAACATTACTTGCCTGTTGCCTGATTCTCGAAGGTTTTGTTTTCCCATGCAACATTAAATAATCAATATCAGATCCAAAAACATATCCTCCAAATTCTGCAGCAGCTACTAATAAAGACCCAGACCCTACAAACGGGTCCAAAATTATGTCACCATTTTTAACTTTGGCTTGATTAGCCATCAATAGGGACAACTGTGGATCCATACTCGTGTTACCTATAAATTTTCTAGTTTTTAACGATAATTTTTTCATAAGTTGTCTTAAGCCGTAAGCTACCTAAAAACGATTTACACTGCTTGTTAATCATTCAATTTCTTTGTTGACTTTCTTACACATTTTCCGAAAAATACGTCATGAGGCAATTCTGGTGGGTCATTAGGTATTATTCCATAATATTCAATATATTGCAAACATGTATCTGGATTATTAAGCCTAACCTGTCCTTCAATTGGCAAATAGTTGAAAGTCTAGAAAAAAATACTTAGTTTTTCGAAACTAAACATTGCATTACCTACTTCTAATTTATTAACTTTCTCTTGCTGTGTAAAATGTTTACAATAAGTTTCAACTTCAATCTTAAAACTTTTATTGGGACTGAAGTATGGAGCAAATATTTCACATTTTTTCCTTAAACTATTGTGCAATAGGTCCACAGACTTTTCATGGCCCCACAGTTCCATGCAATTGCGTAGAGATACAGATCTGCTGGTTAGTAGTTGAGCATCGCCTTCGGAAGAGAATTCCACTATCCAAAAGGGTTCCTAGAAATGTATTTTTGCTTAGAAAAAGCAGCGATTTATTAGTATTGTATCATTTACCTTACTTTGGGGCTTCTGTGCATACCTCATCTCTATCTTGAACAAAGATAATAAGGATTCTATTTCCTACAAATAGATAAAAAAAAATCTTACAGATAGGATTGGCTAAATTCAATTGATTCAAAAGATCCTACCACCTTGAAAAATTTGGAAGAATGGTCTTCCTAAATTCTTAAAATAAAAAGAAATTTAATTTCAAAGAATCCTATGTTTTCATAGGCCCGATAAATAAAACATATCTCAAAGAATAGGAAACTTGCGTTTTTCCATTTTATCCCATTTTGATGTTTAAAAATGGTTCGGATGAGTGTTTTTGGGTTAGTTCATTATTATTTAACATAAACTTGTGTATGTGATGTATATAACTATACTCGAGTCAGCAAGTGAAGTAGCGGGACAAGCTACGCCCACGCACCTTCGAATGTGTTAAAAATTAATCGCAATGAAAGAGTTTCATGACAGCTGAAAATCTTTCAATCCATTGTTTACTTAATAAAAAACATGACGGACATCGGACATGGTGAAATAGCATTATGTTAGAACAGAACAATTAGAGTCAATATAACTATATTCCGGTCGTATAATGGAGGTAACTGAAACTGTTTCATGATGGTTAAAATTTGGTATGTTATTATTAAATTCAATGAATCTTTGCTATAATCGAAAATAACAGTCAAGCTTCAACTTGTTAGAGCTTAACCAATCAGCAATCAATTCAATTTTCAATATTGTATACATACAGGGTCCGCAGCTGAGCGCGCGTCGGTCTAAAGTCCTAAACTAATAAATTTAGGAATTTCGTTTATAGGTCAACCTATACTGGTCGTGACTATGTAGTGAGGCTCTATTTTTGGAAAATATTTTTGAGTATACAGGGTGGCTCAATTAGGCGTGATGATATAAAAGTCTTTTTTTTTAATGAGACACCTTATAGGTGATTGCATATTTGGATTCTACATAAAATTCTGAGTAGATTTCATGTGATATAACCCTATACCTAAGTTCAACAGTTTTGGAAATATTGACAGTTGAAAATTGACTTTTTTGCAAGTTTAACAGGCTGTAAAACCTAAACGGTTAACTTTAGAGGAAAACTGATCTTACATTATCATCTTTGATTTTCATAAACTACCTATCATTTTACACCAACTTTGAATTTAATCCATGATCCAAAATTCCAATTAAATTTAATCTCTGGTAAAATTCTAAGTTGGTGTCAAATGACAATTTATGGAAATCTAAGATAAGACTGTAGGTAAGATCAGGTTTCCTTTAAAATTAACCGTTTAAATTTTACAGCCCGTCAAAGTTGCAAAAAAGTCAATTTTCAACTGTCAATATTTCCAAAACAGCTGAACTTAGGTAAAGGGCAAGGGGCAAGGTTGTTTGAGAGGTAGGTTGCTTCATAACTTTATGACGTCATCTTGAGTGCCTTAACGTAATGCAAATCTCCATAAGGCACCCCAGATGCGTCATCAAGTTACTTACATGCCACTCTATATTTGATTCGATATTTTTGAAGAGCACAATTTTCTGATTCCAAAAGTGTATAGTATATCTATATTTGCTTGAGCCCTCTCCAACATATCTGGCTCAAAAAATTGTAAAAATACTTTTCCACTGACATAAAAAACAACCTTTGTATTTACACCTATCATCTACCTATAAAGGTAAAGGCTGCAAGTGGGGGGTCAAAATATTATTATTATTATTATTATTATTATTAGGTCTTTATTTAGCATGTACGGCTAATTTACAAAACATAGAGTACATAATATAATATTCATATACAACTATAAATTGCACAGTGTATGTATACATAAAGCACACAATACAATACATGTCATCATACATTGTTATGTCTAATAAAATTTGATAAAATAAAATAAAAATAAGAAATTAAATTAAGATTATTTTAGGCACAGCTATAGAAAGTAAACATAGATTTCAATAATAGTACATAGTACATTGTCACACTGAACACAAGCTACAAACAGGGTATATGTACACATTCAGACATAAAGCACTCAACGATTCCTTTCTATGTATCTCCAACAGCCACACATCAAGCTATTGGCCATTGTCGATTAATAATTTTTTCAGTTTCGATTTAAATATATTAAGCGTTGAGCTGCTTTTTACATCATTTGGTAGTTTGTTATAATTAATTAGGCCATTATGGAATAATGCCCTTTCAGTGCTCTTTTTATTCTTGGTTGCTACATGCAAATCATTCTGAGATCTTGTATTGTGATCGTGAACGTTACGGTTGTACAGCAGTTTCGATGACAAGTACATTGGCATTACAGAACTCTTTATTCTATAAATGAATGTCATGGCTTGATAATTTAAAAAATTCTCGATGGATAACCAGTTTAGAGACAGTAGCATAGATCTAACCGTTGTGTCCTTGGGACAATGAAGTATTACTCGCATCGCTTTGTTTTGTAACTTTTGCAGCCTATCTTTTCCGTTTTTGTTCATCATGTACAGCACCGATGATGCGTATGTAAGATGTGGTAGAATAATGGTATTATACACCATGATGCGAGTCCACTTTGATAGAAAAGGTGCTACTCTAGTCAGGACACCCGTGTTTTTTGCTATTTTGTTAGTAATATAATTAATGTGTTCCTTAAATTGAAGCCTTCTGTCAATTATAACACCCAAATACTTGATCTCTTCAACCATCTCAATATCTTCACTTCCAATGGCAATTTTAAATGGAGTTGCCATATTATATTGCTGATTATTAACAATAAGCATAAACTTTGTTTTTGATGCGTTTAATTTTAGTAAATTTCCATTACACCACGATAATACATTCTCCAAGTCTCCATTAATAGCATCAGTCACCAATTTCAAATCTCTAGAACAGAAGTAAATTAAAGTGTCATCTGCAAATAGATGGATCTGGCAGCTTGTTATACACTTAACAATATCATTAATATATATAAGAAACAGTAATGGCCCCAATTCACTTCCCTGTGGTACGCCATTATCGTTTAAAATTTCTGGAGAAGTGATCTTGTTTATGTATGTGTTCTGTTTCCTATTCTGCAAATAGTTCTGAAGCCACTTTAGAGCTACACCTTCTATACCATATTTTTGCAATTTTTGCACCAAGCTACACCTGTTGATAGTCTCAAATGCCCTTTTAAAATCAAGAAAAACCGCCCCAATCATAACATCACTATCCAGTTGGTTCTTCCAATCATATAAAATATTTTGTATGGCTGTTTCGCAACTATGATTTTGTCTGAAACCCGATTGGTTTGCATACAATATTTTCTTTTCTGAAATATATTCGATAAATTGATCATAAATAACTTTCTCAATAGTTTTTTCAAAAGTCGCTAGCATATTTATTGGTCTCAGCTCACTGGCAGTTTTCACATCGCGGACTTTAGGTATTGGAATAACCGTTGAAATTTTTAAGGGTGATGAAATAGTGCCTGTTTCCAGTGAATAGTTGATTAAATTTAGCAGAGGGAATTCAATACTTGCGTATATCATTTTTATGAAGTCCGCTGATAGCTCGTCAGGACTACCTTTACATGGCAATTGAAAAACAATTTCCTTCAGTTGATCTGTAGTTATTGGCATAAACCGTGCTAAACCTCCTGGCGGTGTTTGTATTTGGTCAATACATTGAATTCCTCCATTTACGTCGATTTCAGACACAATCCCATGAATGCTATTAATATAATAGTCATTGAGATTATTACACAATAATTGGGGTTCGTTTATTATCTCATTGTTAATTTCAAGCTCTTTAATATTATGGTCTTTTTTGTTTTTAGATAATAGCGGTTTTAATGTTTCCCACATTTTTTTTGAATTATTTTTACAATTATCGATTTTATTTTCAAAGTGACTCTTTTTCTCTTCACGTATTACTTGTACAGCCCTATTCCTGTTTTTTCTATAAGTAGCTTTATTTTCGTTGTTTTTATTTTTTTTGTAATGTTTGTAACTTTCATCTCTACATCGGACAGCGTCGTACACTCTTTCATTCCACCATTCTTTATATCTGGATTTTATAACTATTTCCCTCTTTGGGGAAACTTCATTCAATATTCGCACTATCGTTGAAAAAATCTGACTATACTTGTCATCTATATCCCAGAGCATATAATTCCACCTCTCCAGAGACAATCTTCTATTAATTTCATCGAAATCTAGCTTACCCCGAGAATCAACGCTCTTACTACATTCCTCACTGAAGGCCTTTTTATTATTTAAACTAAACTTTATTATATAATGATCAGATATTTTTGGGGTATCAGCTACCTGACTGCTGACATTGTAGCTATTACAAAATCCCAGGTCAATAATACTTCCCCCTGCATCACTTGGGTGAGTGATTTGATTCACCAACTGATTAAACCCCAAATCCATCATACATATTTCTAACTGTCTCTTATAGGTATCCGCCCGCAACCAGTTAATATTGAAATCCCCAAGAATTAGTGTAGGGTACTTAAAGTCTGCATTCTCCAAGCACCAGTTTTCAAAGTTCTTTAAGAATTCTGCTGTACTTGCACTTGGTGAACGGTATATTCCGATAATAACATGCTGCCCTTTCTGTACCAATATAGAAGCATGTAGCAACCAATAATTTTTATCCAACACAAAACGCTTACATTCTAAAATTTTAATGTCATTCCTAATAAAAAATGTTACACCACCTGTATGCCGATTATGGCTGTCACACCTTACAATTTGAAATCTCTCAATAAAAATCTCCCTATCCGCGATGTCTTCCGTTATTCTACTTTCAGTTAAACATGCAACTAGTGGTTTTGAATCAAATATTAAACTAGACACCTCATCGAATTTTGATAAAAGACTCTGTGAGTTTAAAAGCAAAACGGAGTTTTTCAAATCTATAAAAAAGTACTCGCATTACAACTATTCCCAATATTGCTTGTTAGTTTACAAATGACATTCCTAACATAATCCAGCACCTTAACTTTTGCTGAATAAAACATGTTCATTCCTCTTTTATGATACAAAAAAGAATCCGTGTTAATAATAGAATTCACATTGACAAATGTTGATGA